CCCTATGAGCTCTAGTAGAAGCTAACGGCTATATATATATGTATACTTAGTAACTATAGAGAGAAGTAATGTCACTGTCAGTCTGCAGAACTTATTAAGCTTCATCTACATTCATTAAATGAAGACTATGTAATGGCAGTGGCAATTGTAGCTGTCCTATTATTAAATTGTAACATCTCCGCAACGAAAATACCCACAGTGACCCTAATTTAGATTCATACATATATGATTATGGTGGCATATATATTATCTCCTGAAATGGCTTGATATAGTATGGAAGCCTTTATTTTTAATCTTATAGGCCTATAGGTTGTAAGCGAATACTTCATTTCCCTCATTTATAGGTTGTAAATGTAAGAGGATACACACAAAGCACATATATATCAGTTATACACAGACCATATGTTAGGAGATGGGCTGCTCAAACACCACACCACAACAGGATATGTATTCTGGATATCGAAATGGCCAGCCCGCTCAAAACGGAAGACAAGGGACAAATTTAAAGAGTTCTGACATACCTGGTGAAAATGGTGTAAGTGTTTTCATTTTCCTTTCAGTGAACTGTAAAACTCTGCATATATATAGTATAGCCAATTTTCCTGTCAGTGCCAATGCCATTAGTTAACTTAAACTCCATGTTCTTGTGAGCACCAGATATTGAGTATATGATATGAAGTTGTTAAAATATTAATGAAATAAAACGTCAGCTTTTGAAACTGTTAGTTTCATCGGTTTTTCTGATAACCTTTTGACAGTTTCCAAAGCAGCAGTGGCAAAAATATCCCACCGAGGATCAGAGAAATAGCGTTTCTGGTTCTGGTAATGCTAACACAGCAGAGGCACAGAGCGAGGCCAAAGCTGATAAGGTAAGTGGGAATAATGCTAATTAATACAGGGTGTCTCCGAGTTTCAGCATAATTGCTTTCAAAATGTCATTCAAGGAAAGAACTTAGAGAAGCGTAGTATATTTTGTTTATATGAAGGTCACGGTTTATAAATCACATGTATATGTAATAAAATAAACATTGAAACACAATTTACAAGTTCGAATATATTCACAAGAGGGAGATTCCCTATATGGTGTAGATCAGGTAATAAAGTTTGTTCGTCATGCCCCAGGTATTGTAGAATAACAACAAAAATCTTATGTATTGTCTGCCTGTTGATGAACTCAAAGGACATTAGCATAGAAGTGATACAGAGATACCTGGAGATTGTTCGACAGCTAAAGCTCTTAGACACCAAGAACACAGCCAGTGCTCTTGTGATGAAAACTAAACTCCAGAAAAGTGTGACGAATAACATAGAAAAACTCACCACACAACATGAGCTGGCCACTCAACAGATGTACGTAAGGATAATACATAGCTATGTGATCGCTATAATTGATGATCGAGTATAAATAAATTAATGAAGAATTCAAGGGGATATACTGGATGGAAAGATATATTATATATGTAGATATATATATATATTCGTGAGGATATCTATTAGTGACTATGTGGCATGAGAGGGTTAACAATGATCCTTTATAAATGGAGGTAAACCCGAAATAAGTGAGTTCTCTGTGCATTTAATGAAAAGTGGGAAGTGCACACATTTGTTGAGATCAACAGTAAAACATAACATAGATGATTATGTATTATCCTATAGAACCAATTTTATCTCCTCATTGTTCTGTACTCTCTCCAAAATGCCACAGAGCATATAGGAACAATCTATTTCTGTCATTTCATAGGTTGAAAGAAAAAGCAGATGTTGACAATCTTCAAGCATATCTCAAGGAGAACTCGTCCAGCAGTAAAGAATTTACTACTGAACAGGAGGAATATATGGAAGCACTCAACAAAGTGGTATGTAATACACCATGATCACTTCTTGAATCCGATGTGTGCGTGCCCTTATGTTTGTTCGTGCATATATGCACGCATATTACGTATTCTACAGTTGTGATGCTATGTCTACTCTTGGTTAAATAGCACACAGTTATTTTTGTTGTCTACTGGCACTTCAGTTACATTTTCGGTGCATTTCTAAATATTTAGCAACTGTATACTGTCCCAATTTTGTTATTAGGAAATGGCCAAAAAGGAACTGGATGTGGCACTAAAACAAATTGAGACCCTGAATTTGGAAATACAACAGTTGCATGCCGAAAATAATGAAGTGGAAACACTGCATAGAGAGCAAGATGAGATATTAGGTAGCACTATCCTTACTGCATGGACAATTTTACTTTTTTTAAAGATTATTATCTACTTTATATTCATAGTTCCCTATTACGTATGTTCATTTATTATTATAACATTCTATCTGCAGGTAATAATAGTCCCCACTCGCTCCACCACGTTCTAGCTGCTCTTTGTGCCTGCGTTGTTGCTAGGGCACGGTGTCCCTTCAACACGCGATGTTATTACACATTTAACGACGCGCACACCTGCGTCACTAATTCACCCACCCATTAGGTACGCAATCACCGATACGCCGACCTCGCGAACTTTTCCAGGCAAGATATTCGACGGGGAGTACGGCAGCGAGCAGGAGGACCAGCTGGAGTCGGAGCTGAGCCTGCTGAAAGAGCAGCAGCGGCGCATGGACCTGACGCGATACAACTGGCAGACGGCGCGCATGATGAGCCACCACGCCTGCAACCAGCTCGCCTTCGCCGTCCGACGCTGGCAGGAATCTTCGTCGGAAACGTACGTCCGTCCCGTAACTTGGGGGAATCCATCTGAAAATTGTTGCCGATGCCTATTCGGTTGTGCGTATGTGGATGGATGGGTAGGTAGGTCGGTCGATCGATCAATAAACGAATAAATGGATTGATGGATGAATGGGTGGATGGATGGATGGATGGATGGGTAGATTGATGGATGGATGAATGGCTGGGTGGAAGGATGGATGGATGGATGGATGGATTGATGGGTGGGTTGATGGGTGGGTTGATGGATGGATGGATGAATGGATAGACGTTTGTATTGATATAAAACTGTTGTAATAGACCTTTTCATCTGTATTCTTAGCTTAACCTAATAAAATTGAAATCTTCTGAATTTCGTTTTAATATACTGAGAATTCATCAATAAGATGCAAAATATAATTAGATTATGCAATCCACAAAGATTACTGACACTGTTTACATCACGGGGTGTAAGGTTGCTTAACTTCAAGATTTAACAAAATTATGGTAGAAACCCTTTGCCACTCTTGCACCAGGCAATTCTCAGCATGAAAAGATCTATAACCCACCAATCTCGCCAGATCAAGGTCATCATCAGATATTTGTTTAACTAATTTCAACAATTAATATGCACGTGAATGAGCAAAAACTGGACAGGTATCGGGGTTCAAGATACGATCTCATCATTAACATTTCGTCAGCTGTAAGGAGCCGTGGACCTAGAATGTGTACATGGGTGCCCTTCTAAATATTGATTGCACGTAGCTATTGGTTACTGGTATTGAAACAGGCTGGTTGCCCCGGGTTGCCTCCCGCGCAGTGAGCGAGCATTATGGTATCGGTTGATGCTATAAATAATTAAAATGCTGTACAGAGACCTTGTAACGACAATGTAATTAGATTGCATTATACTTCGCGAGCGGAAAGCCGCACACTCCTGTGGGCGTGCGAATTTACTTTTACTCTGCTTCTCTCCAGCAACCTGCAGCGAAAGACGCATCTCGTGACGGAGGTGCGGAACTACGTCGTCGCAGCCATACAGAACCTGCGGACGGCCGACCAGCAGCTGGAGGGCATCACGTTTCCGTACTGCGGGCCAGAGGAGCTGGACACGTTGGGGCGCGCGGCGCACTACGTGTTCACGGACATGCAGTCGGCAGAGCGACACGCGCACGCACTGCAGTGCTACGACGCGACGCACAAACGCTGCGCAGCCCTCTTGTATTGGTTTACAGAGGTAACTCTCCACTTAATTGTTGCACAGTATTATGATATATGTATATATATATATATATAGAGAGAGAGAGAGAGAGAGAGAGAGAGAGAACTATATTTGAAA